TATCACTTTTTTAGATTCCCAGCTGCCATTCTACCATCAGACCAAGAGGTGGTGGAAATCGAAAGTACAGCTGCAAGCACAGCAGTGACACAACGAGGTCTGGAGCCTGCAAAAAGGCCATCGTTCAAAAAAGTGCCAAAGAAAGTGCCAGCCTGCAAAAGGCCAAGTGCAGCAAGAAAAGCCAAGGCATGTTGGAAGAAGAGCCTTTCCTTTGGGTTTGTTAAGGAAACCAAAGCTTCAAACAAGGCTTACATTGTGTCCAAGCCTGAAGAAGGCAGCAAGCCAACTTGCCTGGTGAATGTGCAATTGCCTAGGGGTCCTGACCAAGACAGAGTCATGTCTGCACTTATGGCTAAAGCCTGTGAAGAGGCAAGCCTGGAGAAAAAGCAGCTGGTCTCATACAAAGATCAGCTGCTGAAGGACATGCCAGCACAGCCTGCATAAAGGCACCCCTTGGTGAGGATCAAGCGACAGACAGCAAGCCATGGCGATGGAAAGGCAGGAGAGGGAAAGAAGAGGCCTTGAGCCTGGACCAAGGCAGTGCAGGGCAAGAAGCAAAAGCCAGCACAGGCCAAACCCTCCAGAACCTCCTAAACCAAGGAGCGCTCAGCCTGCACAAGGCACACCAGCCCAGCCTGAACAAGGCTGTTTCCAGAGCAATGAAGAAAAACCAAAGCCTGAACAAGGCCCAAGTCAGTCAACTGGTACAAAAGAAGAGACAGTTCCAGAATGCAAAAAGCACAAGCCCAACGCAGAAAATGCATCAAAGCCTGCAGAGGCTGAGCAGGCAGTGGAGCCTGAGCCAGAATGAGCAGCCTGCACAAGGCCAGAATGAGCAGCCCAAAAAAGGAGATGATGCTGCTCATGATGGTGCTGATGATAAAGGCACTCTGGATTTCTGAGTGGGCACTGCACAGCTCAAGCCTGAACAAAGGCCAGCACACCCCATGGCTGAAGCCTGAACAAAGGCCAACTCCACCACTGGTCAGCTCAAGCCTGAACAAAGGCCATTCAAAACCACAGCTGTCTTCTTAGCCTGGATAAAAGCTTGTACAGAAATGGAGCTTTGGCAGCCCTGCAAAAAAGCTCTTTGGGTGGGGAGTGGGGTTTTGTGGTTGGTTGTTGCTGGTAGTGGTGGTGGTTGGTAGGTGTTGGATTAGGGGAAGCCTGGAACAGGTATACTACTTGAGATGTGAGTGGTTCACCCCCAAGGTCTTGAAGGTGAGTGGTTCACCCCCAAAATTGGTAAGGTGAGCCTGCAAAAGGCCAGAAACACCAAAGCAAAAAGTACAAAAAAAGAACGAAAATCGTACTTTCGTACTTTTGTACTTTTTTATGTTTTTATCTATTTCCTTTTAAATTAAAAGGAAATGTATAAAAAGTACAAACGTACGAAAGTACGCTTTTAGTACTTTTTCGTACATTTTCTTACTTTTTGGGTCTCTCAGCATCTCTGCTGCAGCTTTTGAAAAATCAAGGGCAGACCACCAACACACCAGAAAAGGACCACCAACACACCAGCACCTTCAAACAACCAACGCCACACAACAAGCACAAACACACCAAACCTGGCACCCACGCCACCTAGAAAGAGGCGGACCACCAGAGCCTGAACAAGGCACCATTGTAGTGAAGCAAGAGACAGCCACTCCTCACAAAGACAAGCCTGAGGAAGGCACCCCTACCAAGGATTCTGCAAGGGGCTCACCCCAAGCACCCAGAATCAGAATGAAAAATTTCACCAAAAGCTGTAGCCAAGGCCAAGCCCAAGGCCAAAGCCAGGGCCAAGGCCAAGGCCCAAGGTCAGCCTGCAGAAGGCCATTATGAGGCACCTGACAGGGAAGCTTGGAAGGATGTGCGCTATCAGCTGCAGAAGCTGGAGAAGGCTGGAGTCTGCACAAAGTTGGCCCAGTGCTGTGCAGGTTGCGGTGAGCCTGCGCAAGGCATGGTGCCTCTAGGTATTCATGGTGATGGAGTGCCTGTGCTGCAAGGCAGAATGGACCAATCTGGCTTGGATTTCGTCACTGTCAACCTCTTGGCCTCAAGGCGTTAGAGTCCCCCTTATTTGCGTTGATGCCAAATTCATTGCAAGGCCAGAGACCACGCAGGCCATCTTGGAAGTTCTTGCTTGGAGCCTGAAACATTTGGTATTGGGAATGCAGCCTGCATTAAGGCATGATGGTGCTCCTTTCGAAGAATCCTTTCGATTGACAAGAATTGGCAAAAGCCTGCGCAAGGCTGTTGTAGTTATGATGCGAGGAGATTGGGATTGGAATGTAAAATGGTATGGCTGTCCTATGCACAATGTCAAAGTAGGAATGTGTTGGCTGTGCTCCTGCAAGCCAGGTGAGTGGAGATGCCAAACATTAGATCAGAGAAAGAGCCAAAGCCTGGACAAGGCCCAATTTCTGGCAAGCCTGGAATAGAGAAAAAAGGCCATAGCACCCCTTTTCCATGTGAACCCAATTACCAACCACACCATAGTCCCTGATTGGATGCGTGTCATGGATGAAGGATGTGGTGCAGCCTGTGCAGGGCAAGTTTTGAACGCTTTGTTGCCCTGCTATGAAGGGAAGAAGCCAGAAAAAGCAAGCAGGTTGTGGGCACATATTCAGACTATCTACTCAGAGTTGGGTGTCCCAGCCAGTGCGCAATTGCCCAAACAGCCTGGGAAGGCCCCTGAACCTGCAGGCAGGGGATTTTGAGCACTTTGACAAGTGCACACGAGTTTGACACAGGCACCAGCCTGCAAAAAGCAATCCACAAAGTTGCCACCTTCACCACCCAAGTCTATCAGCACGTGGAAGCTTTCAATGGCAGGAAGCTGGCCAAATATGGAAGGGCATTGAAGAGCCAGTACATGGCATTGGAATCTCACATTCAAAGAGAAGATGAAAATGATGTTTGTTCCTGGCATGCCAAGCCTAAGTGGCACTTGGCTGAGCATATTTTTGATTTAGCCTGCATGCAGCAGTGGGCACTCAGAAGGGGTGGGAAGAGAAATGCAAGCAGTGAAGCAGAGAAAACCCTCCTTTGTTTCATGAATGACACACCCCCTCTGAATGTCAACTTGCCCAGCTCAGCCTGAAGAAGGCCCAAATCCGATGTCCAGCTTCAGCCTGAAAGAAGGCCATGCAACCATAGGTACAATATGTTTCACCTTGTCTCACACACTTTTCATGGCTTCCCAGAAGCGCTTCTTGGATTCCAAGAAGCGCTTCTGGGAAGCCACTTTTTGTAGCTTCTAGAGTTCAAAACCCGGAAGCCACTTTCCATGGCTGCCAGCCTAAAATCTTAGCTTCCACCAGAAGCTATTTTTAAAAGTGCCTTCTCGGATCCTTAGGGAAACCTTGTTGATCCACGAGAATGCCTTGTCGGGCTTGGAAGATGCGGCCCACACCGCATCCCTCACCCTGATCTTCCAATTGCGATAATTCTCGGGCTGTGGAAAGGAAGGTATCTTGATATGGTCTGCCTCCTTTGTGGTACTACTCTTGCCCCCCAAAACCTGTTTGAGCTTCTTCATAAGAGCCTTATCCGTCAGTTCATCGTCATCATCTTCAAAATCATCTCCTCCGTCTGGGTCGCTGTCATCCCCCGGAGGTCCAGGTGGTCCACCCCCTGACTTTGGAATCTTGAGAAGCGGAATGCCTGGACGCCCAGGATTGATTGGGTCACCTGATGAACGACCTCCACCAGGGTTGTCTCCTCCCCCTCCCGGCGGTCCACCACCACCATTGCCTGGCCCGCCCCTACCGAAGTTGCCTGACAGTGCATTTGCTGCTAATGACCCGTACCCATCATTCCAAGGACTCACCGGTTGGAAAACTGCAGCGTTAGGGGAAAATACGCTTCCGGGTTGAGACCTCATGGATGGAGTACCGAACAGATCAGCAGTTCTAAAAGATCGGACGTCATGGGCCTGGGACAAACCTGTGAGTGGTGCTTCATGTATCGGTATAGAGTCACGAACTTCGGCAGCTCCTTCCGAAACGCCTGGCACGTCATCCTTCCGTCCCTTCAATTTGCGAAGTTCTTTCAGGAGTTGTGCCTGGACAGATTCCGTTTCAGCTAACCGCCTCTGCAAATCTAGAGACGATTGTTGTTGCTGCGCCAAGTTCATTTCAAGGAAAGAGACTTTTTGGCCCTGCATCATTTCAAGTCCAGCGATATGTTGACGGTGGGTGGTTCATGGCCATTTCCATGAATTGATTCTGAGCCTGCTCTTGTAGAGTTTGGTATCCAGCTTCGGCTGCATTGATGAACGATCGCGCCTGAATTTTCATCTCCTCGCTTTCGGAAAATGCTTCATCAGCTTCACTTCGGAGCCCCTGTGCCGCGAGCATTAATTCTGCTCGCTGCCCCTCAAGTTGCTGATTTTGAGACGCCTGGCGCATCATCTCTGCCACCACTGCAGGAGGTGTGCTCACGAACGAAAAATTAGCCTGGTTGAATATCGGCGTGGTGTTCCCACCCGCTCCCCATCCATCAGCTGACTGTTGGATCCTCCGTCTGGTGTAGACGAGACGCCCGGATCCATCAGTGGTAGATGAAAAGCGGCGGGGTTTCCACCCACGCTCTCCCGCCCATCCGTACTTCCGTACGGCGCAGCCAGCCTCGCGAGGGCTGTTGGGTCAAGAGTCATATCCATGGCTGCGAATGACGAGGGAGCAATACTACGGGCCTATGGCTATACGGGTGATAACCTATGTTTACAGGAAATCAGCCAACAGCGCCAACCTTTTTCTTGAGCCAAATGGTCGGGGTCATGAGGTATAATGTACAATGTATACGTGGAACACTACATAAAAACAAGTACACTCTGGACACGCGCACTGCGTAACACAACACTATCACCACCACACTCAAGAAAAGTCTGAGACAACGGTGGTGTTTATATATATACACACAGTATACAGATGTATACAGTATATATGATGTACCTTATAGCTCACCTTTGAGTCACTCTGTCATCCTTGACACTGTTTAAAATGAGCGTCCGAAGGCCCGGGTGGTGAGCAGCCCTGTTTGCAGCGCAGCTAGGAGGTGCTGTCCAGCCTCTTTCGAGACTAGCAACACATTGGACTCCTCGGTTCAGCCACCAAAATGGAGCGGAACCACGTAGATTTAAAAAAGGCAAGGAGTAATGCCCTCTGTCCTCCTACCTAGACTCCACGACTCCAATTGTTGGCGTCAAAACAACGACGAAAGGCATGTGACATGACCGAAAGGAAACACCGATTTGCAAGACTGGCATCGATCACCTTCGGGAGCCTTGGCTGGCAGCTGGACAAACCACAAGCATCTTGTAGCAGGTCTTATGGCAGCTTGAGCAACTGTCATCTTGTTTTTCCTGCCTTTCGCCAAAAATTGCCAAGAAGCTCTTCGTCCGCCGCCTGCAAGCCATGAGTTGCTAAGAGCTGCCTTGCTGCGAGGCGGATGACCTGCAGCGTGTCGGAAACGACATTCCACGTCCCGCAAGCACAGCACAAAAGCAAGCCAAGAGAAGAAAACAGCTGCATGACTGAATGACAGGCAGGGATCACCCTGCAAAAGCGTTTCAAACCTCATTCACCCGGGTTCCAATTGCAATCTGGGCGCTTGAGAGTCTGCCCGAAGGTCGTGACCGGCAAACTCAAAGGCCTTTCAGTGTCAAAGCATGATAGCTAAGGCAGCTAAGAGATGCCAGAAGTGGAGGGCGGCTTTTGGTGAAACTCAGATTGGTTTAGAGTCTAGTCTAGGCATTTCTCCCTGCGATGCAGGTGCAGATGAAAAAAGAACCACACATAGGAAGCACACCTTGAAGGAGGCTGATACTGCATCCATAACTGTGGAGCGGTCACATCGCAATTCTGGCCTGAGAGTCATACTGTCATACGGCACACGGGCATGCAATTCAGTGTTTCCAATGCAGGTGTAACAGCAATGACTCACAATTGCCGCCGCAGTTTTCCAGTGCTTTGTCGTTTCCTGCTGTCTGCAGCTCCATGGAACCCTTCTAGCACCAAGCCACGATGCATGCTGAAGGGCCTGAGGGTGCCTTTTGGCAGCCAGGATGACCACCTGACGAAAGCTGAAGCAATATAGAGTCTCAGAAGCCACCCGCCATCACCGTGCTCAAACGGATTGCCTCTTGCACATTTTGCAACCGCGAAGAAACGTGCTTCAAGGCTTGTCCTCGCAAATTCAGGCACATCGTTCTGTGTGACTCATGGGGTCGTACTAGTCGTGTTGGCGCTGCGACAATGCTGCAAGTCAAAACCCACCAAATGGATCAAAATGGACTCTCAAACCTCGTCAACCAAGTCACCTGATTATCAAAAACCCCTTACAGTCCAAATATTAAATATTGCTGCGGCTGCAGCACGGTGACCAAGAAAGCAAAATGGACAAGAAAAGTGTGACATGGTGAGTTCGACTTTGACAAGCTGGAGTTGGCTTCCTTATGTGCTGTGCACGTTGGAGTGTGGTGCAGGGAAGTGCGTGGCTCCCGCGAGCCATCAACTCGAAGCTGTGTGCACTCTGTCAGCCAATGATAAGAGCATCAACTTTCCAAAAAAATGAAAGAATATTCTATGTGCAAAGAATAATTCAAAGTATTTGGTTTTTGTGACTTGGAACATATTCTAGGTGCATACCAAATGTCTTTTTTCATATTCTATCTCGTGCTCCGTCACTATATATTGAGATTGTGCATCGTACATCTTCGCACTGTGACAGCCAAAAGCACACAATCATACTTTGGCAGCTTGTCCAACCAACAGCGGTTGACGTGTTTATTATGTTGTATCAATCAACTCAACAACACATTTCATACAATTATATTCTAATTGTGGCACCTGCAACTCCATACTGTTTGCACTTAGAATATGAACCAACAAAGCTTTTTCGATTTGGTTCATTATCTATCTGTGTGTCCGTTGCTATACAGTAATCTAATATACAGTAAACAAACGCTCGCCCCCCCATCGGGTTGGTACACACGGCTCAGCTTCTGCTCCTGAGACCTGTACAGCAGACTTCACCACCTCCTGGTCGTCTCTCAGCTCAGTGGCCGCAAACCTCGGAAAGCAGGCAAATAAACAATGGACAATGGTCGTAAAGTCTGCCTTCAGGTTACGAAACCGTACGACAGTCTTGGGCTCAGAAGTTGGAAGGAGGAAGGTTTGAACCCTGCAATAATCGAAGCCGTCGTTCCATCAAGGAACTGGAAGAGTTCAAGGCAAACAAAGCTTTGATGGGAGCATGGAATTCAAGCCAGGCTCCATAAGCTTTGCTCATTCCCAGCTGGACTTGTTTTAGCCAACAGGCCACCCACAACAGAAAGTCGAGCGCTAATTGGTTTCTGCATGGCATCTGGCTATAGGTCAGCTGCGTCAAAAACAAAACCAAGCATTATGCAATTATGCCAAATATCCGGGGGACACTGAGGATGCTACATTCAGACGGCATGTGCGGTGGAGAGGGAGGAAGGAAGGAAGGAAGGAAGGAAGGAAGGAAGGAAGGCGATGTTTTCTTTTACATTTGGACCGAGTAGGGCTCTGCTTGAGTGTGGCCCCCTCAAGGCCAGCTGATGCACTTAGCCTTAGGCATCACATGCGCTCGTGCTGATAGTGCGCCATCGGTGTCGACCGGCGTATATGTTCCTTTAGCTGGAGTGCAAAGGTCTCTTCTTTGCTTTTGGTCAGGGATTTGCAGCGTGCTTGGCGGCATTGGGAGTCGGGATTTGATACAGTATATGCCAGGGCTCTGTCTTTGTGAACCTGGCCCGGAAGTGGTCTGCAGGCACTTGGTGCTCCGTCCAGGCGCACCAGAATCTTCTTCAGCAACATGGAGTTGTGCACAAAATGAGCCAATCAAAATCTCACTTGCTTTTTTGGTGTTGTGGCTTGTGGTCCATAATTCTAACCTTTATGGCTTCCGCTTTCTTCCAAGAGACAGTACGCCCTCGCTGTGCACCCTTTGCGAGGCTCCTGCTTGTCAGGCCGGACATGCCTGCTAGCAAGCGGGTCGGACATTCCCGAGGTGAGCTGTCAGTGGTGCGCTTCCTGGCAAGGTGAGAAAATGAGCTGGAAGGTTGCCAGCGCCATGCTCAATGACTACGGAAGGCACGTTTGGCAGCCTTTTTGCGGCTTTGCATTTCTCCGCACTGGACACTGCCAAGGAGCGAATGCAGTTGCGCACGATTGCAAAAAACATGTTGGTGTTCAAGCTGAGGACCTGTCGACTCTGGCTTTCGGATAAGAGAGGATTTGAGGGGGCCTTGGACGAGCAGCTTAGCAGTTGGGCTGTTCAATCCGGCAGCTGCTTCATGTGCCTGAACAGTGGATCCAAAGCGGATATCCACTGAAGGTGGCATTTTCCCTTGCTGCTTTGCATCACATCATAATAGGAATGACAAGCGCATCCGAAAGAAAGAAGGAAAGAATGAAAGAAAGAAAGCTAGTAAACAAACAAAAGCTGCTAGGCTGGGACGCAGAAGAGCTCAGGCTTCTTCAAGTGAGCTCCCCCCGCCTGAGGCTGGGGAGGGCTTCCCTGACGAGCCCCGCATGATTGATTTGGTTACTAGATTCCTTGGGAAACTGAACTTGCTTGCAATCTATATAGAGCTCATTTTTTTGTGATGACACGCGTCTTCAACAGTGTTCGCAAATACGAGCAAGCCAGCCAGCCGGCCAGCAAGCAAGCAAGCAAGAAAGCAGGCAGTTGTCTTGAGTTCTGCCCCACAACAATAAAACGATCAACTTTGAGATGTATATAGTACGCACCCCTCCATTCAGACATGGCACTGTATTGCGCATCCATCTTGGCTCACCGCCATCAAAACGATGCCACGCTGAGCTCGCAACCTGACATCCAATCTACACTCTACCCATTGCACCCCAATCGCCGAAAAATGTTCAATTGCCAAGGCATGGCTACTGCTAGTAACAAGAAAAGCTAGTAACAAAGGGCATCGCTACTAGGAGCGGCGCCTGTTTGAAGCAAACTCCAAGGCCAGGCCGGAGCCCTGGACCGCTTTGAGCACCACCTCTTCATCATCTCGTAATTTTGGAGAGGCGTGCTCCAAAGCTAGGCCACTGGTCTGAACTGCCCGTAGGACCTCAAAACGCCAACAGGCCAACATCAATTGGTTTCGAAGAGAAGCATCTGCCTGCCTCCGATGCAAATCCCATTTCTACGCCAAGAAACTATCTCCTTGTTGTCTTTGAGCTCTGGCAGTACAAACCTGAAAAAGCTCGAAAAGCCAAAGAACGGCCGATCTGCTAATGCCCTCCCAGTCTGCTGTCCTCAACGCACCCCCAGTTTGGGCCACGCAGGTCAGCACCAGCTCCAAATCCTACAGCACCGTCAACTCCAAATGGACGAGACGAGTGAGATGATAAGATGATATGGAACAAAAGGCCCCCAAACAAACGTCGAAAACATGCTTGTAGGACGGAAGGATGCTTCAGACAGAGGGTTCCCTGAAGACATTTGAGTCATTTAGAATACTTTGAGTTCCAATTGCACTTTTGACTCTTGACAAGGGAGGTGGGGGTGGGGGGTAATAAGCATACCTGAGCCCATTTAACTTTTCAGGACTAGCTTTGTGGATCTTCATGAAGGATTTGCCGTTTTTTTTCGTTGGTTGCTTTGTGTTTAGTTCTGTTGTTGCGGCTGTATGGCTGCATGGTCGGTCACACGAGTTTTGTTTTCCGGGTCCAGTCCACTACTACCTTTTTTCCAGGTCGACTGTGCGTACTGAGGCTCCTCGATCGATTTGGAGTGCCACTTCAGGCAAGAGGTTTGGGTCCAGAGCTGTTGAACATTGCGTTAGATCCGGATCGCTTTGAGCTAAACTTCGCTCGTCTCTCGAAGAATTTCATGAAATGTTGTTGAGACCATGGGCGACAGTGGTCAGAATATGTGGAAGCACCTTTCGCAAGAGGAAATTGAGGAGAACAAACCATCTACGCAGATGCCAAAGACTCCATAGAACACCACAAACTTCTAGCCATGCACAGCCTCAACAAGGGTCCAGGGAAGAACGAGTTTTGAGAGCGCACAAGCACTTTGGACTGTGACAAGGTGTCAACCTTGAACGCTGACTCAGACTCACTGAAGCGCTGATTTCGTGAAGGGTGGCAAAACACCACGCTTGCCAATACAAACACACGTGTCAAATTGATTCATGGGCTTCCAAAGGTAAAGCAAGCCTCCGGCTCATATTTTCCGCCATGACTGAGTTTACTTCAAAACGCAATTCTATCGGGGGGATTCACCTACTGCACCATGACATGTATCACATCTGGCAACTTGCAACTTCCTGTCGCGCGGTTTTAGAAAATCCGTCTTCAATGGAACGAACAATTTTTTTGTACTGATATAGCATTGCTTTGATGCTCTCCCCAGGCAGGCTCAGTGTGCAACAGTGTTTCTTGACCACTGACTGAAGCTGACGGTCAGAACCCCCGGTGTGCAACCTCAAATGATGTAATAGATTGACTGGCTAGTTGACTGACTTGCCTCTGTCAATCACTAAAATTACTGCCGGTCATTGTCAGCGGGAGGCATCGAACATTTCGAGTACGGCTCTCCTGCTGCATTTCTGCAGGTGCGAGGGGCAGAATAGCACCACACCTCGCAGCCACCCCAAGAGCGTGTTGATGTGAAGAAGTGGCCACCTCAGGACCTTGTAACAACTTGCATTGCAAGCTTAAGACTTCCTGCGCCCCAGATATGAGAACGCTGGCTGAATAGTATTTTAATGCTTTACATGTTTTCCACAAGCTTAGTCTTCAGTTGCGTGTTGTGCATACCTATATATCTATATGAGTGGCGGACGAAACTTCTTTGTTTCCGCAGTGCCTAAAATATTTTGGGTCGGCCCCTATCGGTTTTCAGTGCTGTGCACTCACTCGCTGAAGTGTGCCGCAAAACACTAAATCATTATGTGTGGGAAGGTCATTGGTATCGCTTTCAAGGGTGGCATAGCTAGCAGGAGTAGCAGCAGCAGTAGCAGTAGCACTAGTAGTAGCAGTAGTAATAGTAGTCGTAGTCGTAGTCATCCTAGTAGTTGTCCTAGTAGCCGTAGTAGTGGCAGTGGTGGGAGAGGTAGTAGTAGTAGTAGTTAGTAGTAGTTAGTAGTAGTTAGTAGTAGTTAGTAGT